GTTTCTGTCCGTACACGACCACTCTGAGTGCCGCAAGACGAGGAATTTTAGTCTCCATCTTGACGAACGAAATGATATAGTGAACCATTCACCAAATGTTTACTCACATAGGCCAATATGCATGAATCTTCGTATTGTGCAAATCCTTCCTCACATCCACAAGAAATGCCAGAACACGTTCCTTACTCCAGTCTAAACCACGGGTCATCAGTGCCATACAAAGTCCTTCAAGACCACTCCCAATATTCGCTAGCGTCCACAAGCCCACAGCCTTCTTCTTGGGGTCTTTGGGCCAGCGGTTCGTGGGCCACTTGTAATTGAGGACAGTGACATCAATGTAGCCCGCTTTGATGAGCGTTTCGCGATGGCTCGATGCGGCATTCAGGGGTCGCCCGAGGTTTATGCTGGCTTGTAATATGAGGTCGCTGAATTCTTTCAAGGCTTGGCCTTCACAGAGGGTACCGTCATCGGAGGCCATGGGGAAGATACAGTCTATTAGTTCAATATAACCACCCGGGTTAAGATATCTTTTGATTTTTTCTCCCCCCATCCCCGGGACATGGTACGGATTGTGTTAGCCTATGAGCTCCGCCGCTTCTAAGGTTGGCTGGCTGGGCGGGCAGCGAAAACTAAAGCAAACAAGGAGTGAAAGAACAAGATAGACATACTGGTATGACTGTTCGGCAAGATGAGAGAAATTTGCGAAGCTGCCAACCATCATTCGACTGAAGATGTAATCGAAAGGTTGCGACCATGTCCACTCCTTTTCGAGGTCGTCTAGCTCAAACCTGCAATTCGTAGGAACGCTAGGTTAGTGAAGGTTAGTTCGGCATTCATGCTGTGGCAGGGGAATGTGTTCATTTACATACTAGAGCGGTTGGATAGGACTCAGGTCGACACCGATCACCTTGTAATTGCGATATCAGCGAAGGATTACACGTTGCCTGAAGGGAAAATGGATGCTGCAAACGGAATTAACTGAACCTCTGCAGCTGGGTGAGCATCGGCTGCAAGGGGGTTCCAATGTTAGCATACAGATTGCAGACTGGAGAAGCAGATATCAAGTCAATGACAATGAAACTTGCCATAGTCGATTGCCCATATACCAGTACCAGTTCCCACGTCCAAGACACGATGGGCACGGTCCGCTCCTGGAGCAAAGTGTATCTTGCCACCAAAAGTGATGAAGAAGTGGTGATGCTGCATATCTAGAAACGGGTTCCATCTTATCAGCTCATATCCAGGAAATAAGGATTCATCTGACGGATCCATACCTAGTCGGTCGCTCTCTTCCTGATGCAAGACGGGCTGGTTCAGTGCTTTGCTGGCACTCCCATATGCAGAATTTGTGCAGAGAATCCAAAAGCTTACCTCGTCATTGGGCAAGATATACTCTAATAAGAAAATCTCATTTCAGTTTCATCCGATTATGGTATCAGCCAATGTAAGGGATTAATGGGGCAACTCACTCCCTTCGCTGAGGGAATGATATGTTCGTCCATTTTCAACAACGAAGTCCCGAACGCTTTCGGTCAATGAGATAACGGACAATTGGGCATCATTCTGGGAGCATGTTAATCATTTGTCTGACATCCGTCATTTCAGCCATGGGATATAGTCATCGAATAGCTCACCACCGAGACTGCAGAATCTTCATCAGAATCAGGTACCTGAGATAATGATGTCCGTTAACGATCGACACAGTAAAGATGCAAGTGTAAAAGATAAATATTGAAATAAATTTGATTAACGAGTCGATCAAGATGGGCAACCAACGAAAGACTAGGTCCCTTAACGTACCATTAGAGATGCTAGTTGGCCTGATGGTCTTTCATCATCCGCCATGCTGTCGTTTCAAACTTTCAAACAACGATAGGACTACTATGTTGTTGAGAGGATATTGAAATCGATATGCCGGGCAAGAAGGTGAAATAATAAACATCTATAAAAAAGAATGGATGCGGATTTGGTGCTGCTTTTGCAATGGTTGGAGTAGCTATTGAACTAGCGGGATGGTCTGCATATTCCCCGACGCCGTCTGTCCAAAAGCAAGCTCGTTGTTACGAGGACGCAACCTGATTGGACTTCAACCCTAATTTCTCTGAGGTATCGGTGTTCAGATAGTTAGCATCCTCCGCAAAAGGACATGGGGACGTAAAGCAGCAGTACTCGCGATTGCCGCCGCTAAAGAAGGACTTTCAAACTGGTTTTGAATTGTTATAAGATAGATCATTTTGATCTCTTGAAGCCGTCATCCTTAAATTGATCGCTCGTGAGTCGAGTGGCAACATCGGAAATTCGGGAATCCTGGCAAAATCCCTGCCTCCCTTGCAGCCATGCCCATGCTGCTGCTTCTCGTCTCGGCGCTCGCTATAGGGTACCTGGTTGTCCAGCGAGTGCACAATTGGCATCGGCTGCGGCATATCACAGGACCTCGATCGTGCGCATGGACTGATATTTGGATGCTGCGGCGCTCATGGTCTGGATCCCTGTACGAAGATTTGGGCAAACTACACCAGGAGCATGGTACGTAGGAGATAATGACTACGGTCCAAATTTGGGACAGACGTCTCCGCGTCAGTCTAACGGATCATTAAGGAGTGGTGATTCATTTGTGGGGGGAAGCTGCTCCCTTGCCGGGTTGAACGGTGCAATTGTCATGCATGTAACGTGTTCTCTTGACTGATGTGGCCTCTGTGAGAACCGGATAGGTCCGCTTGTGCGAATCGCGCCTAACTACGTTATCTGCGGTGATCCCAACGAGGTGCGGCGGATGTGGGGGGTTCGGTCAGAGTGGGATCGCTCACCATGGTACAAGGGTTTCCAGCTCGATCCGCCCAGAGACTGCACACTGTCCATGCGGGATAATGCCTTGCATGCCACTCTGAGGTCCAAGCTTGCACCAGGCGTAAGAACCCCCGGGCTCCATCTCTCTCCCAATATAAGACTCGGATACTTAGCCTACTCTTGCAATTCAACCTTAGTACTCGGGCAAGGGAATAGAATCCCTGCATGAATCCATAGACGCACAGATCGTAAAGTTCATCCGGCTCATTGAAAGCAAGTACCTCTCTACAGACACGAACCTACGGCCTGTGGACTTTGCGCGAAAAGTGCAGTACCTGACACTGGATGTGATCTCAACCCTCGCATTTGGGCGCACGTTTGGGTTCCTGGATAAAGATGGAGATATGTTCAACTACATCAAGACGACAGAGGAGTCCCTGCCAGTAATGCAGATGATAGCACTGCTGCCGTGGCTGGTGAACGTGTTACAGTCACGTCTGTTTAAAGCATTTATGCCCTCAGATACGGACATGGTGGGAATAGGGAGGGTAATGGGGTCTGCATCTCTTTCCCCAAACATCCCATATCGCATGCTGCTCTTGAATAGGTGAAAAAAGGGTTCGGCGGCTAACAAACAAAACATCATTTTTGCAGCGTTGCCAAAGCAGTTGTGGCAGAGCGATATGGCCAGCATAAAATCACCAAGCCAGACTTGCTTGGCTCGTTCGTAGCTAATGGACTCAGTCAAAAGGAGGCAGAAGCAGAGTCCCTGGTACAGATGTAAGAATCACCCATACACATACACATACACATATATAGATTTTAGATATGGATCCAACATACATACCTAAAACCACCCCACCAGCATCGCAGGCTCCGACACAACCGCCACAACCCTACGCACCGGCATCCTACTCCTCACCACCTCCCCGAAAGTCTACACAACCCTCCTCGCCGAAATCGACACTGCCATCTCAGAAAACCGCATCTCCAACCCAGTCACAGACACCGAAGCCCGCGCCCTCCCATACTTACAAGCATGCATCAAAGAATGTTTCCGGTTCTGGCCACCGATAACCGGAATCATGCCGCGCGTGTGTCCGCGGGAGGCTGATGTTTGCGGTGTGAGGGTTCCTGGAGGGACGAATGTGGGGTGGAGTGCTTGGGCGGTGTTGAGGGATAAAGGGGTGTTTGGGAGGGATGCGGAGGTATTTTGGCCGGGGAGGTGGCTGGAGAGGGAATGTGAGGGGGATAGGGAGAGATTGATTGGGATGGAGAGGGTGGTGGAGCTCGTCTTTGGACAGGGGAAATGGGGGTGCCTAGGGAAGCCAATATCGCTGTTGGAGATTAACAAGGTGTTTGTTGAGGTGTGTTATTTTATTTCTTTGCATTTATTATTTTATTTTATTTTATTTTATTTTTTTTTTTATATTTCGTATATATATTTCTTTTTTTTTTTTAATTTTTTTTTTCTTTTTCTTTCTTTCTTTCTTTTCTTTCTTTCTTTCTTTCTTTCTTTCTTTCTTTTTTTTTTTTTTTTTTTTTTTTTTTTTTTTTTGGTTAAATGGATCGACGTTGGTGATGAAGTGGGTAGCTACTGATAACTGAGCATACGCAGCTGCTTCGTCGCTTCGACTTCGCCGTTCTCAACCCGGCGCACCCGATGGAGACGTTCGGATACGGCGTCTCGATGCAGTCGGGGCTGTATATGAGGATATCACGTCGTATGAAGACGCGTAACGATATACCGGACATGAACACGCAAAGCTCATAGTAGCGGATTGTCTATTGAGGATGGAATGTTATTGTTCAAGGCTAATAATTAATTGTGATAATGCGACATGAAGGGAATAATGAATAGTCATCTAAAGGAATGAATAGGGCGGCTTTCGACAATATTAATGATGTTATATATGCATCCCTAACATAATCCATGTCTATACTCGTACACCCCGCGCTCGTACCCATAACTGTGTATATAAATAACTCGATCGATACCCTCTCTATGATAAACTAGAAAGAATAGGCTGATAATATGCATGGATAAGCACATGCAACAAAACATAACCATACACCAATACATCTATAACCACGCGATACAAAACGATAATAACCACAGACGCACTTCACCTACAAAACATACAATGCCAATCATAGCAGAGGAGAGTAGCGCAAACAAAGCACACCACACCCACCAAAGAACAAAAGCACAATTACACCTCAGTCCCCAACAACCCCCTAAGAATCCCTTCCCCAGCCCCGTAAATATGGCCCTCAACCTCTCGCTCGCCAACAAAGCATACAAGCCCCCTCTCTTCGCCCCTCTTCTTCCTCGCAGCGCGACTGGGCGTCATAGCTGATGACGAAGATGAGAACGAAGACGAGAACGAAGGCGTACCCCCATAACCCCACCCATGCGCCTCCCCTACAAGTCCCAACGTCTCAAGACTGCCAATGACGTCGCGGAACTCCGTCGCGGAAAGAGGCTGGAGGATCTTATCCCGCCGACACAGGGTGGAGTAAGTTGCGAAGAGCTGGTTGACAGTTGGCGCGGCTGAGGCTGTTGAACGGGGAATTTTAGAGGGGGTTCTCAGAACACCATTTCCGTCTGAATCCTGCTGCTTCCGACCCAGGGCAATCATGGCGCAGAGGGCGGCCTTTTGCTGTAAATTTAATCCCCGAAGGCGCTGCGTGGTGCCATTGCCAAAGGCGCTGGAGGTGACGCGTGCGACGTGGGCGACTGTAGCTCTTGGAGCTGTAGCTGCTGTGTAGACGGGTCCTGTCAAGGGTTGTGTTGACGAGCATGACGACGAAGACGGTGTATCTGGCGGGGAAATAAGGGAGGCAAGGTTAACATTCTCGGTCAGTGGTGTTTTGGAGCTGGCGATGCTGTTCGTAGGCGCGCCACAAGATTTATTCCGGATGAATTCCTGTTCGATGAGATCGATGGTGTGGCGGACGATGTCAAATGCCTTGCGTAGATCGCCAGTTTGGGAGGCTACTTTTCTCGCGCAGAGTTGGATGGCGGCCGGGTGTAGGAAGGGGATGAAGTCGGCTGGGCCGCAGTTGGGGGCTGTTGTTGGCATCAATGAGCGGAGACGGGTGGTTATGATGCTAGAGATCTGCGGCGCGGTATAGGGCAAGAAGGGCAGGAGATGTGGTTTGAGATTCTTTGCCTTGAGATGTGGTAAGAAGCGATCAGTTAGGTCGAGGGCGTTGGCGATGCCGATGAGCACGAGTTGGGAACCGGGTTGCAGGGACCATTCGAAGAGGGAGTAGAGAGTTTCGACATCTGATGATAGGAGATGGTCTATTTCATCGAGGGCAACCACATAGAATGCAGGAGAAGCACTTCGTTGCTGCAAGAACATGCCACCCAACAACTCGGTCCGACTCTTCTTAAACAGCTGCGCATCATCGCACAGTTCATCAACGAGTTTCGTGTAGATATCCCTGGAACTCGTCATGCTGGCACAATTGATGTGGGCCACCCTGACAGATTTCTCAAGGTGCATGTCGCGCCACACTTCGTTGACCATGGCGCTCTTGCCCGTCCCTGGGGGTCCGCTGACATAGATACAACCGCCATTCCGGGACTGTACAGCATTGTCGATGAAGGCGGTCAGTTCCTCCCGTTCGCTGTCACGACCCACCAGTCTACCTGGATTTGAACTTCTTGCGAATAGCTGTCTGGCGGGGGTGTAGACACTCTGTGCAGCTGTGACATGGCATAAGGTACGGGGAGCTCGAGGAGTCAAGGGTTTCCCCGTAACTTTCACACGATGTTTGGGAGTAGTGGGGATGGTCGGTTTGGCATTAGATAGGGCATCTCTAGAGCGGTATGCCTTTTGGGGGGTGGTGAATTCCTTTGGGCGCGTATTTTCGTCTAGTAAAAACTTGGGTTAGAAGAAAAATCTGCAATCGTAGGATGAAGAATATAGGGGGCCCAGGGACTTTACCCGTTACAGTCTCAGTAGATTTTATCACTTTTACTGGTGATGTAGCGATAGCCTTGACTGCCTTGTCAGGAACGGTACGTTTCGAGCGACCATTGTTACGGCTGGACGAGGATCTATAAATGGTGTTTTGCGGTATAGAGGGCTCATCCTCCTCCTCCTCATGAATCCAAGGTAGAGGGGATTTTGTCCGTCGTTTGCTGGAGCGCAGCGAGATAGCACTTGCAGCACCTAATTGATGAAAACAAATACAAGGTGAGTTTTGAATTCTCAATTGCCCATGGAATTTGAAGAAATTGCATGAAATGAACAAGCACCTACCAGTAGCACTTGAGTCGAGAGTTGCCCTCCGTCTCTTGCCCAGGACTGAGGAAGCCATGACCCCAAGATGAGTCGCTGGTTTAATTTTGTGAAGGGTTTGACTTGCGCAGGGCTTGGGTTAGTTGGGTGTTGAAGAGTGAAAAGCAGCGAGGGAAGACTTGGGCAGACTTGGGATAGATTGTGATAAGATGGGTAGCGTTTGGGTTTGGATGGAGTAGAGGAGAGGTACCTATTGGCAGAAAAAAACTAGCGAGGTACAAAGGGGGTACATATAAGCGTCGGCCTTGGTGTGAGTCGTGTTAAGGCAGAGTCGCGTGGGCAATGGAGACACGCGACTTGGGGGTGACGCGACATTATGTCACGCTCTACTACAGAGTACCCACACCGAGTATGTTTTTAACTTGGAAAACAACTCTACGAAGATATATATAAATAGACTGGATGACAAAAAGATATGTATACTCCACTTTCATTTCCACAGCTGAGGGGTATTTGATTCCAGCCCTCTCTTTTCCGCAGACTGCTAACAAAGAATAGATCATATAACTATGTCATGGAATTGGTAACTTGGGAGGAAATTCGCGCTGAGCGTCTGACTAATCAGCCTATTGACTACGGGTGACTATTTGCGCCGCTTGTGCTGCTCGTTGGATAAAATCTGATGAGTCAGCCGTGTGCACAAAAGCTGCGTTGCTGGTCTCTGATTACTCCTGTAACCACTCGCCACACTGGGCTAAACCTGATTCTTCCCGGAAACGGAAGATATATGCCTCCGCCAGCTCCGGCGGGTTTTCCAACCAAAACAGCCAGAGGTAGCTTGACGTTGGCGACAGCACGGACTGCCTCATAACCTCATTCCAACAACACAACTCACTCACCCTGTTCACCATCATAGATCACAATTCCGGAATAGACTCTCTAGAATTCCTACAAAGACAGCCATGCCCTCTCCTGTCTGCTCTTAATTCGCCCTTCCCTGTGCTTCCTGCATAGCTTGCTTAGCCGCCATTGTGTTTTTCATGCCCCTCACGAGATAAAGATCCCGCCCCACTCCCGAGCCCTTGGCTTTGTTCATTGTTCCCCTCCTCGATCATCCAACTCCCCAGAATAAAACCTATTACATTCTTTCCCTCCCTACATCTCTCTTATCCTCTCTTACCCCACTAGAGGACATCGATTTTCCACGATCCCCTTAATACCCGGACAATCCACTCCATCTATATTCGGTTAAGTGCAAAACGCAGGAAAGAAAGAAAGAAAGAAAAAGAAATCCCTCCGCCATGGCAGACGCTGCGGTGGCAGGCTTCACAGAAATCACGGGGTCAACCCCCGAGGTGGCCTCCCACTATCTGCAGCTGACCGACGGAAACCTCGAAATCGCTATGCAGCTCTACTTCGAAAATGGAAGCGCTGATATACACCAGGAACCCTCTGTTCAACCAGCTCCACCGCACCCCGCACCCGCACCTGCACTATCATCTACTCGACCCTCTCACCCCTCCGGCTACCAAGACGTTCACGGTGTAGTTCATCTCGACTCCGATGGCGATGATGATGATGGTAACTACAACAACCGTAATAATGATAATAATATGAATGAGATAGAAGAGGTGGAAGTTGTCAATATCCCCGTACGAACCTCACAGCAGCAATCAGCCTCCACCAGTCGACCTCCACCTTCAAACACAACCTTTGACGATGATGAAGCACTGGCCCGCCGTTTACAAGAGGAATTTTACGCTGGTGCGGAGGGCTTGAATGCAGTGGATGCTGACGGTGTAAGGGCTCCCATGGCTCGGACTACAGAGACTCTCGTTGACCCCAGCGCGGATTCGGGGTTTGACGATGCCAGCTTAGAAGAAGCAGTCCTGCGCCAGATGCGGGCTAGACAGCATGCCAGAGCAGGCAAGTAGACCGCCTTGTCTTGTCTGTTTATCTCTTAACAATCCTGGAGTTTGTAGTTATGTTCATGGCGCTAATATCGATCTTTCCATCCAAGTAGGTCGGCCGGGTATTTTCAACCAACGGCCTGTTTCATTCTCCATCTGGAATCAGGACGACCCAGCCTCCCATCGCGCTGCCTTGTTGCACGCTACAGGGGGAGCCTCGAATACGTCAAGTAAATCTGGAATGCTTGCAGAAATGTACCGCCCCCCTTTCGAGATTATATCGAAACTCCCTTGGGATCTAGCTCGCGATGAAGGCCGGGAGAAAATGAGATGGCTCCTGGTCAACATCCAGGATCCAGCTGTCTTTGACTGTCAAGTTTTGAACAGAGATCTTTGGAAGAACCCAGGCGTCATGGAGACTGTGAAGGAACATTTCATCTTTCTACAATACTTAAAGGACGACCCGCGTGGCTCACAGTACATCCAGTATTATTTTCCGGGCGTTGACGTTCAAGAAGAATACCCGCACATTGCAATCGTCGATCCACGAACGGGCGAGCAAGTCAAGACCTGGTCTGGGCCCCCGGTCATAAAACCGGCAGATTTCCTAATGCAGCTTCACGAATTCCTCGATCGGTACAGTTTAGACAACAGCGTGCGAAACCCCGTCGCGAGACGGAAACCGGACGTGAGGAAAGAGCGCAAGATCGAATCGATGTCTGAAGACGAGATGCTAGAGATGGCTTTAAAGAATAGCCTGGAAACCGAAAATCCATCTCGACGCGAGGATCCCGATGATCTGACACGGAGCATAGGCGATGTTAGTGTCAAGGGCAAAGGCAAGGGGAAGGAGAAAGGGCAAACATTCTCATTGGACCCGGACGATATCGACATGGACTCAAACGGCCCAGGCAAAACCGAAGACGAAGACGGAAACGACGCCAACTCATCCCTCCCCAACTCCACCTTCGTTTCCATCCCCTCCGACCGCTCTCACACCGAGCCAGACCCGGACCCAGCAACAGTAACACGAATCCAATTCCGTCACCCAACCGGCCGCGTGATTCGGCGCTTCAGCCTCTCCGACCCCGTGCGGCGGATATACGAATGGCTTAAAGCGTCGCCTTTGGAGGGTAAGGAGGGCGTTGAGTTTGAGCTAGTGGCTATGGGGCAGAATTTGATTGGGTTGTTGGATGTTAGTGTTGAGGATGCTGGGTTGAAGAATGGGACTGTTATGGTTGGGTTTGTGGAGGATTAGTGGAGGGTGTGTTCTATGGGGTAAGTGGGAATGTGGATGCAAGTTTGTATGACAGAGGGGATGGAAGCGTAATGGGTAATGGCGTTGATATTGTGCTGTCGCTTTGGTAGGTAGCGTTGCGTAGGTCATAGACAAATAAGCCTTCCCCATTTCCCCATAGTAGCATCTAATAACATATTGCTGGGGGGGTGGGGGCGTGGATTTGGCATGGGCCGTTCGGACTATTCAGGTGTATCTTGGTTTCTTTCCCCTTGAGGTTCTGTCTTTCTGACATCTTTCTCGTTTATTTTTCAATTTTTTTAACCCAGGTACTTCCCCCAAGTAGCCATGTATTCCACTTTGTTTCCTCTGGTATATTGAGTTCCGTGGAGAATTCATACCAGTAAATTGAAGTATCTTAATGGTACAGATACAACATCTAGTACAATCAATAATGAAACAGCAGATGCCTCTGCTATTCCGGGATCCCGCTCGTGGGCAGTAGACAGCAACCAAACACGGCCCCATCCATCTCCCAAAACAATCTCTCCCCCTTCTTCCCACTTCCTCCCAAACAAACCATCCAAACAACTCACAAACCGCGGCAAATCCACATCCAATATATCGTCCAAGTTCATCACCAAATAGACGAAACAATTATTTGCTATAAGCTATCTGAGTGAATTCTAAGATGATTTCTAAGAAATTGATTTGAGGAAGGCTCTGTTTATATAGCTCTTTTTCTTAGCACTGTTTTTCACATTTATATGTTATTTGTATGCAGAGTAATTGTGGGGTTAGCTGCTATGTCATTGTCTAGATAGTTGTAATTTCTGATTACTTTAGTCTGTGCAATGACTGATCATCTCAGTTTGTTCTACATCATCACAAATATATGCAGTTTTATCCTCTTCTTTTAACAGTTCATTAATAGTAATATTTATTAATAATTTTAGATTTTTCTTTCAAGAATAGAGCTTATTGTAATTTATGCTTTTTATATTTAAACTTGATAATTGATCTCTAATCATAGTATATATTCTATATAACTGAGAAGATAATATTATCTTTGAATTACTAGTATAATTATTTCAATTTAAAAATCTTTCTTTGTTTAAATCTTTTTTAAATATATCTAAAAGATATGAATTAGATACTCTCATTTGAATTGAATAATTTGTATTTATTTTCATGATTCTTAGAGTATAATTTATACAACTTTTATCAAATCTAATAGCTAATAGTGAAATTGATATCACTATTTTTATAGCTCTAACTGAAGATATTTTAAAAGCTTCTAGAATTCTTCTTAAAGCTTTATTTTATAATAGTTGAAATTGATTTATAAAGTTTTTTTGCTCTTTTCATCAAATCTCTACTGCATAGTCTGATACAAAAGCTGTATAAGCTATATGTAGTTATCTTATTACTTGAAAAGATAAACCTCTTTCTATAATAAATAGTTTAATAATACTATTCAAAGTTCTCTCAGCCTGATCAATTTTTTTGAATATAAACTTTAAAGTTAAGCTTTGAGTCTAATTATACTTCTAGTTATCTCATTGAAGTTTTTGATTTTATAACTTTATCTTAAAGAGTAATAGTTTTCTCTTGTTCATTTTTTTTAGAATACAAATGAATCAATTCAATTTTATTCATATCAAATTAAATAAAAATTTTACTTACTTTTTCAAATATTTTCCTTGAAGCTCCCTTTGTATTATTATAATTTTCTTATATAGATTTAAAACTAATAATAAGATTAATATCATTCATATAGCCATGAGTTATTACTATATATATACTTTTGTTCTTAAATAAATTAGCTATATATATAGCAAAAAAAAAAAAAAAAAAAAAAAAAATAGATGAGACTGAAGATTTTTGAGAAATTTCTTTTTTAATAAAGATTTTTTTCTATTTTATTGCATTAAAGATAAGCTGAATACTTTTTTTATCATAAAATATATAACTTATTTTACTAAATACTCTGATAAATGTAGCTTTTGCATAATTGAAATAATTTTATTTCTTGAAATATGATTAAAAGCATTTTTTATATCATTAAAAGTAGCAGTTAAGATTAAATTATCATTTCTATATATTTAAATATTATGAATAGCTGATTAGAACTGCACCTATAGTAAAATTTTATTTTTTACTAATCATTTGATCATTATATAGTAAATTAGTAATAGCTAAAAAAGAAAGTCTAGAGTTAATAATTTTTTTTAAAAATCTTTTCTAAATAATTTAATAGGTAAATAACTTTATAAAATTTAAAAATTAATAAATTTCTATTAGATTTTTTTAAAATAACTTCTATTATCTCTCTTTAGCATATTGAATAATATTTATATTTCATCAAAGAGAAGAATAATGTAAAAAGTTTTTCTTTTAACTTAAAATATATTTTTTATATTAAAAAATAATTTATAGAGTCAGGTTTAACTGCTATTTTAATAGAACTAGTAAAAATAGCTATTTCTATTTTATTTTTTATTAAGATTATTTTTATTTTAATTTATCATCATAATATTTATTTATAGAAATATATTTCTTAGATTCTATTAACTTTGAAAATAAAACTCTTATGAATACTTGATATTTTCTTGAAATATATTAACAGTATAATCTTAATTTTAATATTTATATTTTAATATAAAAAGCTTTACTTTTTCTTTAGATATTATATAGTTAAAAACTTTAAAAATATCTTTATTTTTTTTATTTAGTTTTTACTTTTTTTATACTAGAAAAATAAGTATTTTTAATACTTTTATATATGTTTATAGATATTAACTTTTTTTTTTTAATTTTTTCTATCTTTAGATAGTTCCTTATATTTATCAATTAAAGTTTCAGACTATCAAAATTTTGAGTAGTTTGATTATTTTAAGTATACTATTTTTGATATTTGATAATATAATATTAGTTATTAATATTGTTTTATCCTTTGATATGAATTTTGATAATTCAATATTAATATTTTATAAAAGCTTTTATTTATTTTTTTCTCTTAAGACTTTAATATAATATATAATTCTTATTTACTGAGCTTTTTTAAAGTTATACTGATTAGATAATAATGGATTTTCAATTACATTATTATTATTTAATTATATATTAAAATAAATAAGCTTATGATCTGATTTTGAAACTTCTTTTGAATTAATATATCAATTCTATACTTTTTTTTCATATTATTTTTTAAATAAATAAATTAAATCTATAATTAACTTTTTTAATAGATTTTATTTATAATATATTTCTTTATTAGATTTATTAATTAATTTAAATTCTTTTAATATCAGTCAATCTTTCAATTTATTTGCTCTTATAAACTAAATATAGTCATCATTTTATCATGAGTGATAAGCATTAAAATCTTCACTTATGATTGATTTTTGTTTATTGATATGTCAAAAAGAGCTCTATTTACTATTTAACTATTATCATTTTTCTATAAAGATTTATGATAATATAGAATAGACTAAAGCAATCAGTTATTATACAGATTAAAATAATCAGAAATTGCAACTGTTTAGACAACAGTATAGTAGTAAACCCTACAATTACCTTATATATAAATAGCATGTAAATATAAAAAATAGTATTAAAAAAAAGAGTTATATAAACAGAGTTTTTATTAAATCTATCTCTTAGAAATTATCTTAGTATTTACTTAGATAATTTATCTAGTTGATAATTAATTATTTGTTCATCTATATTTAAATTAAAGTCATAATATAATATTAAGATTAAATACTTTTCTTGCTGTTTTTAAAGTAGATTTTTAGATAAAAAACCTCTAAGAATTTTTATCTACTTTTATTTTTAAACTTCTGAGAAGACTGTTAAAGATGTTAAAAATAATTAGAGAGTTTAATAATCTATAAAGATTAAACTAAGATATGATGACTTTGACTAAAAGAAATATAATATTAAGAAGTTTCATATTAAAGAAATAATTTCCTGTGGCAATTGAAAAGAACTTAGATCAGATATATCAAAAGATTATTAATTTTATAATAAGATAAGAGATACTTTACAAAGAGTTAGAGCAGAACAAAATAAGTAGAAAAAGTAAATGAATGAATTTGATCAGTAAGTGAATAGCTTAGTAGAGAAATTAAATATTTTATAGCAGACTATGAACTCGTTAATCTCTTAAATCAGACTGATAAATACTCAATAAATGCAATAATTAGTTAAACTTGATAATTCTAAGCATCTCATTAATAAGAAAGAACTGATATTTAAAAACTAACTCTCTCAAATGAAACATAAGCTAGTTGTTAATGTAGATCACTTTTCAATTTAAAAAAAACTATATTGTCTATATTAAAAACTAAATTGACGATGAAGCTATTAGATACTTAGTTTTAAGAATAAAGTAAGATCATTTTGAGAAGTTTAAAACAGTTAAAAAAGTGTTTAATTATTTATAGAGAATATATGAGAATGTTAATAAGCTTGAGAATACAAAGATGAAATACTGATAATTAATAATAAGAAATGAAGATAATTATTATATATTTATAATTAAGTTTTTACATCTGACTGATGAAGCTTGAGTTCACAAAAAAGATTATAAAGGAGACTTTCTCTATAAGATTTTTTTAAATCTTCAATATATAATTATAGAAGTTTACATCAATTGCAGTATTTTTTATAAGATTCAAGAGATTTGTATAAGAACAGCTCACTATTTTAAAGATATATTTAGTCAAAGCAACTAATAGTTATTTAATTATAAAGAAACTTCTATAATATAAAACAGCTATGAGAAAACTTTTTCAACTTAAAACTGTGAATTGATATTAATCACATCAGCATAGATAATTGAGAATAGACTAAAAAATAAAAATTAAAAAAAGAATATAAAATACTTTAATTGCTGAAGTAAAGATTATAGAGTATAAAATTACTCATATAAATAAAAAAAAAAATTAAATAAAGTAAATATTGAGACTGCTATCATTAACTTAGAAAAAAATTAATCTGAAAGAAGTCTTTTT